CCCCTTTTCACCCACATTTCTCTTTCCTTCATCTCCCCCTTTCCATAATTATCCATCTCCCTTTTATTTCTCTTTTCCCTTTCATAATCATCCTCTGCCGCTGACCCCGTTTATCCTTTTCGTTCACCTTTCTCCTTTCCCATTCCCCTTCTTTCGCTTCTCCCTTGCCATTATTTTTCGTTCTCCCCCTTCACATTCTTTTTCGTTTCCTCTTTCCGTCGCTCTTTCCATTCTCATTCCCGTTTCCGGTCCCCATCCTTTTATTTTCCGTTGCTCTCTCCGTCCTGTTACCTTATCTTTTCTCCAATCCTCCTACATTTTTCTCATCAACTTGACTTGTCTGTTTGGCGTGGTTGTGCAAGAGGAATCTTGGTTTGCCTGACGATGGTCTGCCGGCTGGCGACTTGGTTAGGAGGGCAAACCATCTCGAGATTCTGTGGTGATCAATCTACGTCCTCTTGGCACTTTTCTTGGGTTTACTCTACTCAACAACCAATGTACCTCAACTCTTCTCGTCCCGGTCACCATCTCCCTCTCCGTCTCTATCTCCGCCTCTGCCTCCGTCTCTGTCTCTGTCTCCATCCCCGTCTCCGTATCCATCTCGAACTTTGTCCCTTCCTTCTCCTCTGTCTCTGTCTCTTTCTACATCCCCGTCTCCATTCCCATCCCTCTCCCTCTCGACCTCTTTCCCTTCCTTCGTCTCCATCTCTGTGCCTCCCCTCGTCACCCTCTCCGTTCCGGCCTCCGTCCCGGGTCCTCCGTACCAGTGTCCCTATCCAATCGTTCTTTCTTATTCTACTCTCCGCTCCACTACTAACTGCAAACTTACTAACCGTTCCCGTTTCTAATTCTCTCTTCTTTTTTCTCCATCTGTCGGGCTCTCCATCCAAACCCATATCTACCCCCCTTCCTCGCCCCTCCCCATTTCTTTCTTTTTCCTTTTTTCTTTGTCTGATAGGAGAAAGGAAGGAGGAAAAAGGACGAAATGGGGAGGGGTAAGCGAGGGGGACAGTCATGGGGCAGTGGTGAACACAACGACGTGAGGTCGATGGCACACGTGGACACACAGGTACCAGTAACTCGTGTGTGAGGGTGTGTCTTAACAGGCTGGTACGTGCTTGCCTTGCCCGGTTTTGCCAAGGATAGTTTTAAATTCTTAACCCTCGATTTATGTAGTTATACAAGCGTAGTTCGTTACCCGTCAAACGGACGGGACAGAAACAAGAGTAACACCCTCGTCGGGGGGTGGCAGCGCAAACGGCGCTGACGTATCCGGAGTATTGGCCTTGAAGTAAAGCTTGTGCGGTTTATGTTGGTAAGTTAAAGATGTGTCCTCTTCACTAAACGTAGGCGAATGGCATCCCACTTATACTATCTTCGAAAGGGAACTACGGATTAACAAAAGGTTGCACGATAAACAATAACTGGGAACGAGAGTAAAACCACTCTCCTCGGTAGTTGCATGCGGTGAACAAGAATCATAGACGTAGTAATGTCGCCTTTCACCTCTCTTTCTCTATTTCTTGGCGAACATGCCGCATTGTATTCACAATTTAGGACATGGAATAGCAAAATTTTCAAAATGATCACGACACTCTCTGCCCGGCTGCAACCCAACCTAGCCGTCTGATGAGTGTTTCGACAACGGTAAACGGAAGAACGGACTGCCATCCAACACTTCAAATGGAGGTGGCTTAAAAATAAGGATTACAACTCAAGATATGGCTCCTTGAAGATAGCTCTCGTAACAGCCTTTCAGAGTCCAAAACGTCCAATATTTTAAGAGGAAACTGTTAATAAGCTATTCCACGTATGCAGTTCCGGTGGAAGAGGTCCAAAAGATGCTTTTTGCGTTACTAGAGCCCCTCTGGTGCTACCAAACACCAGAAACAGCCGCTGTGCACATCCGTTTTTGCACGAAACTTACCAAGCCCTATCCATTGTGTCTTCTCGTTGGACGAGTTTTTGCATTGTTCTCGCTATTGGCCGTGAAGCTTCTCAGGAGTGTCCCATTGTACGATGACAGCCATTGATGCAAGTAGACAGTCTGTATCTAATCGAAAGTGCAGTAATGCCGTCGCAATTTCTTTATTACATGTTAAACTACTCCCATGTGTTTGGGTTCACGTTTTCTTTCTCAGAAATATTAGAAATGCGTCTTTTCTTAGGCAAATTTCTTGACACCCGAGGTGGTGGGGTTCTTACAGAGCGCATAGTTGTCACGTTAATTTCTTTCGTTGCTTCACATCCAAATTTTAAACGTCCCCGGACGTCAGTAATTGTCTGATGCTCCTTTACATTTTCCCTGTCCGTCCGATCTGTTGTATTTGTTTCCCTTTCCCGTTGTAGAGAATGCTCTTCCCCACATATTGTGTCATCATTCATTACCATACCGGTTGTGTAGTATAACCCCCCCTTGGGGCTTTTTAGATTAGATCAAAAACGGATCCAATACAGAGATAAACATCGATACAGTGACCCCCAAAGGTGGCGACCCGAAATAGGCATAACGGTCACTGTACCGGAGGGGGTCACTGTAGTGGAGCAGGGTGCAGACGGCGCACAGACCCCAAAACAAAGGGGTGAAGTCCATCTTACAGACCTTACAACATAAATGGCGAAAAAAATGGGGCTCGCAAACATAAAATGCCACGTTACGCTGGCACGAAAAGAAATCATTGCAAAAATAAGTGAAAAATAAGCAAACAGGGACACAAAGCACCCTTGAAATCAACTTTCAGCAGCACTGGAATTGAGGAAGGAGGCCACTCTATTTTTTCAAAGTGACCATCCTTTGTCAAAGGACATTAGGGATGATTTGGTCGAAATTTTGGACATTGAGATAGAGAATATTGCCGGCTACCGCAAGCGCTCTGGTCGTCAGTCAACCCTAGATTCATTTTTTCAGAGTTCCTCTTGAGTGACCCGTTAAAATTTTAATAAAAATATACCTTTTTTTCAGTGACCCTCTAATTTTTCGGGTCACTGTACAGGTAAGGTCACTATAGTGAGGGGGTCACTGTAAAAAGCAAAAGTGGGCCTTACGGCCACTCAGCGCAATGGTCGCAAGAAATTTTTTTCTAACGGTCACTATACCGAGGGAGGTCACTGTGACAAGGGGTCACTCTATCGATGTTTATCTCTGTACTGTAGAGCCTCGGGCTCTACAGTACTACCGCGCGTGGCCATGTGTACCCCTCGGGTACCACATACACGTGTACACGTGTACACGTGTACATGTGTATCGCGCCGGACGGAAGCGTGCGCATACACGTGTACTGTCAGCCACGATGGCTGACAGTATTACAGTACGGTCCGATCCGTGCTACAGTAGAACACTACAGTACTTCGGTACTGTAGTGTTATAGTTTGTTTTGTATATTAAATATGGAGCGGACTGGCGGCGGTGGAGGAGGACAAGCACGGACTTGTCACCCACCGACCGTCAAGGTCCGACTTCCCGCTTATTCTAAGGTAACGCTCGCTAATTACCTTAGAAGCGGCACCGAGCGCGGGTTGAGGAAACGCGCGGTACGCCCACGAGCCGGCTCCGCC